AAGATTCCCGGGCCATGCTGAATGTTCATCTCAGTCCTACAGCCACACCACGCCATCACTATCTTTATTTATTTATTTTTTAAATCATAATCACTTGGGCCTCTGGGTAATTGGAACAATTAGGGTGATTAATTGCATGTTTGCAATAAAAACAGAAGACCAGGGAGGGTTACATTACAGGCTAAATATTTTCAGAAAACTCTATCAGCTGGTAGACATAACAAATGCGAACAGTTCAGCGCAACACGAAGCTGAGCACATTGTGCAAACTGGTTTGCTCTGGAACTCGAATCTCCTCAAAAGAAGCCAAAGTGTTTAAAAAAATAAACGAAGTCAGAGTGCATAGGGGGAAAAGAAATATTGACATGTGAGGCTGCCGCACTTCTAACATAAAGAAACATTGTTTTCCCTTCGGTCCTTTTATTGTCTAAACAGAGGGTGCAAAGCACGGGAGAAAGCGCACAACAAGGCAGGGTGCACACGGGAAGGTCGGGAGCTTGTGCTGGGAAGCCGGAGTTACACTGAGAGGAAAATTGGAAAAGCACGCAGCAGGATACCCACGGTACTGACACATCCCCTGCTGACAGCGAGAGGGCAAACTAACCTGCCTGCCACTACACTCCAGCACCGAGGATTTTGGAGAGGGACGTTGAATCCAAGAGCAGAAGATACTGACAATGAAAGTTCCATTTATTTAATCCTCACAAATCTGAGCTTTCATCCTCTGCTCATCAGTGTGCTCCTGAAACGCTGCAATACACCTGCAACCAATGCCTCTTCCTGGATTTCTTTGCAACCACTCGGTCTCCAAAGACCCACTTTGAGCTTAACAGGGCATGAACACACTCACAGACTTCCAAAGAAGAAGAAACAAGAGTCAAGAGCAGGCATTGCCCATCCCAGCCATTAAAGCTGTGGCAACATATGGCAAAGCACAAAATTCCCTGTAAGGGAGAGGGTCTCCACAGCAATGCCAGACACGGCTCATCTACCACAGTGTTGTTATCCTGGCCATCATCTTCCAGGATGTCTCCTGAAGAACATGACCCCTCCAGGGCTGTGTGATGAGTTCAGGAGTGCTCTGCAGGAGGGTGCAGGTCCCTGAGCAGGGCTGACAGGCAGGGCAGGCAGAATTCTGTCAGCTCAGGAGCCACTGGTCTGGCCACCAGCAGCAGAGGGATGTCTGCCCCGTGCTCCACACAGACATGCCCAAGTCCCAACCAGTCTTTAACATCATGTACTCTATAGGATCTGATCCATGTGCTCATCAGTAATGAGCCTTATCGTCTCCTGAGCCTTTACCAGGCTACTCTGTGAGCTGCACTATCAAATTGCTACATAAATAGAAAACCAGCTTCTTACGTGTCCCACACTGCCACATACCTGCTTGGTTACATGGAGAAAGCGAACAGTGAAAGGGTTTATGTTCCACTTGTATGATTGGAGACTTTGTGCTTTAACACAAGCTCCGGGGTCACAGGGCAGGAACAAGGTGTTTTCTTTCCAGTCAGCAGGAACTGACATTTATTAGATGAGGGGTTTGTTCTATTTGTTTTAAGTCGATTACATTTTAACTCAGTTCAACAATGCTGGAAAACCTGACAAAATATTCCAGAGTGTTCAGTCAACAAGAAGGTAATGGACAAATGTCCAAAATTTAAAATAGAAGCACACTGCAATAAAAATTCATTCTTCATACCGGCAGGTCTTTTTTATTCCAGTCGCTGACAAGCATTTGTGTCTCTGCATTCGGGAGATCTGCATTACACATTGCCCTTTAGCTGAAAAAAGTCTTCTCAGAGAAATGCCAGTGTTTCTTGTGATTAATTATTGAAGAAATTGGCTTTTATTATTAATTTAACTGTGGAATTTTTGTCAGGCTTATTAAACTGCCAAGTCCTCACCTGTTCAAGAGAATAAGCAACATGCATGTGTAAAAGGAGTGGAGGGCAGAGAAAGAGTGCTGAGGGACACATCAGTAGTATTTCTGTACATTCCCTTCAGAAGGGGTCCATATTTTCCATATGGGTTTTCAGGTTTCATCACATTCAAGTAAAACAAACAAACAAAAAAACCCCAAAACTAAAGGACTGTCTTCTCTGCAGTCAAATGTGTATCTGTTATCAATCCCGAACAGGTTAAACTCCAAACTTCTGAATGCATTTTCCTGCATCCTCCCTTGTAGCCTCACTTATTACAAAGGGGTAAGTAGAAGGGACAGGCTAAAAAAAAAAATATATCTATAAACTACAAATTACAGCTTTGAATTTACTTCTTTTAGTCACAGGTTGTTACTTTCAACACAAAGAGACTTGCACAGGGGAAGAAGCATCGTTCTCCAGCTCAGACAAGCTTCTCATTCAAATATCCAGTTTGTTTATGAGGGTATTAACTTTGGTACTCTCACTGCAGAAAGGGCAGAGAGAGTCACCCTGAGAGCTCATTTCAATGGTCGTACAACACAATGAATGTTTCCACTGCCATTTTGGTCACTATCACTATCAGGAGAAATGCTTAGTCCTTTAATATTTCTGCACTTAATTCACCAGTTACACAGAAAAGTGTTCTGAAGCCCATGGAACTATGGCTTCATGTTAAACCACGGTCCAGAAAAACTAATATAATCAACAAGCACTGGTTCAGTGAGAACTTCTGAAAACATTAGAACTGTTCGTGAAAATTTGACTAAAATATTTAAAAAAAATGCAAAGCCATTTTAATTCAATTCTCACTTATTATTCAGTATTCTACTCCTAACATATTTATACCTTGCAAAATATTTCTCAGCAAGGAATAGAAAGATAGCTAAAAATTCCACTTTTCTGAGGAGACAGTTTTGTAAGCTGTAAAATATACAGTAATTCTGTTTAATGGGTAGCATTCTAAACTAGTGAATAAAATTTGCTGTTTGATCTTGCTCACACATACATGAAAAATGCTATTGGAAAAGATCTTATTTTCCCAGTCACGATACTAAAACCAGCCTCTCAAACATGAGCATGATCATTTTAATACATGCAGTACCTATTCACACAGCTAATATTACCTGAGGGTACAGCACTTTGTGGAGAATTAAAAATAACTTCTGATGATCCAGAAATTATCCCTAGAGAAAGATGTCAGCCTGACCTCTTCATTTCAGTCACTGCTCAGGTTGAACAATTCTATCATCAATCACTCAAAACCTACAGATTATCCCCTCACAACAGTTTGATTATTCTATTTGCTGAGCAACCTGCTCTAGTGGAAGATGCCCCTGCCCATGGCAGGAGGGTTGGACTACATGACCTTTAAAAGGTCCCTTCCAACCTGAACTATTTTATGATTCTATGACGAGATGTAGCTCACTTATACCCAAGTCAGACACTTCTGACTGCATTAGTTCTGCACGTGTTTTCCAAACAGTGACTCATTCCTGCTCCTGAGAAACTGCCCCTTCAACATCATCATGCATATTTTATGCTTTTAACAAGGATTCTACCGAAAATTATAGGGTTTTTTTGAATTTTCATTCCAGAGTGACACTGCTGGGACACTGAAGCTAAACATCGCACGCTGTCCTTTGCCAGAGATACCCACAGTTTGGCTTTCAGGATCACTTGTTGCTCTTCTTCCATGGAATGAACATCCTGTAAGGTTCTGAGCCTGAATTCCAATCACAGTTCAATGTATAATTTCATTGCATTTTTGGGAGCTAGCCTGTGTTTTTGTTGCCTCTCACTGCACATCCTTCCAAAAGGAACTAAATCAACTGGGTGAAACACTAGCCCTCCAACCACAGTCATTTTCTTTGCAACCTTCTAGTTTTTCCATCACATTTATTTCTCTCAACTGAGGCTCTCCATTAGTCAGACAGAGAAGATTTATATTTTAGGGTACAAAGTCTTGTGTCTGGTATGGACAAAGTGAATCTTGTAGAACTGCTGTGCCTGAATGTATCAGAAGACAAAATGTAGGAAATCACATTTGAAATTCATTAAGTGGACTATAACCAATCCTAAGGAATTCTGTGTGACTGCTACAAGGTCCCCACTGGGTCTTTGTGGGCTCTGAGCTACTGCCATTTCCTCTAGGTCTCCCTGCTGGAGATCCCACTCCACTCTGATACATTCTAGCACTTTCTGCAAAGCTTCTTCATTTCTTCATTCTCTCACTGAAGTTTGAAAACAGAATGTCATTTTTCTGGCAGGGAGGGTTTATGCCTTAGGATAAAAAAAGAAGCACTTTAGAACTGCCATAGTTATAACCTGCTGCTCTAGAACACTAGCACCGGAGACATCATGCAAAACAGATCCGTACACAGGCTGTACTTCCACAGGTTTATAATTTAAACAGCTCTCAGACATCATTTTGCAAACATTTCGAGTCCAAAAAAGGTCTGTAAAACCACCGATCTGACAAAACCAAGGCAAGAAGAGAATTAACTGCCTGATTTTACTCAGTAGGCGCAAGGTCAGGTATTGAACAAAGCCTTCCTGACTCAGTTTCAACTACTATAGCACCCTGTCCCATGAATCACCCACTAAGACCGAGCTTATTTAATGTCTACTTAGAATCTGCATGATTTAAACACTGTAATAATCACTAATCAATTTGACAAGCTTGAGATTAGAAGGGGAAAGCTAGAAACTTGGTATAAAAATAACTTCGACCAATCCTTTTCCTACAGTTACACAAAGAAGTTAATTTCTTTATATTACTATATAAATACATGTAACTCTCATGCAGAGAGGTCCTCAAAAACAGAGCCTTAAACTGAAGGTAACACAGTCATACTAAAACAAATGGACAGTCCTCAAAGCACAGCACTCTCCTGACTACATTATTAGGTACACTATTTCCTATAGTATTAAGTCCTCTCACCAGGCAGATTGAGAGTTGGTTACCCTAGAAGGCAAATGCCTTCCTGAGCTCCAGTCTATTCTGTGGCTCCAAGAGCAACTTGGACTATCTATTGCACAAAACAGACATTTCACTGGAGTTTCTTCAACACAACCCACCTGCATTTTTTCTAGAGAAACTTGCTTGTTTTAAACTGAGAGTAATGGAAATTCACACCACACTGCTGGCAATCTGTTCTACTGGTTAGCTGTCTTCTTCTAAAGTTTCACTTTTGAACTTGGAAACTGGTGTAAACAAACCAAATTAGTTTAGCCAGTAAGAAGCACTGTAAAAACATAAACTGGTCCAAAAGAGTCAGATTGCATTTGACCTTGCATCTTCTCAGACTGAAGAAGTTCAGCATGAATAAGCACAAGTCTCACAGGGCTGACATTAGGGCCAAAAATCCATCATAGCTAAATTTAGGTCCAAGGAATCCAAAGCCACGAATAACTGTGTTGAATTACTAAAAAAAATAAAGGTATTTTGGCTTAAGTCTTAAATGTTTCCCTTTCCTGTTTTTAAGCTACATGGGGTTTTTGTTGGGTTTGGGTTTTGGTGGGGTTTTTTTTCTTTTTTCTTTTAGACTTCTCAAATGGTAAAAAACAGTCTGAAAGCAAGAACTTATAAAATGGATATGAAGTATAAAGGTGCATCAAGCATGGGTAACGTGTTTACAGGCCTGATTTATACTGCGAAAGCCAATGTAATATATGCCTTGCTTACTATGTAAGCCTGTGTAAGACACCTTTGGCTTGAGCTTGTCCTTTTCAGTAAGGACTTAAGATATTACCACTGACAGAAGTTACACGTTTAAGTTAAGCTACTACATAGATATGTGCAGCATGACTGAGCCAACACACACAAAGCTCCCTCAGCTCCTGCTGGCACAAACAGATCGAAGCGTTCCGGCTGCTCCCAAGCCCCGCTGTACGAGAGCTGTGGCGAACTCCCCTCCTGCCACCACTGCCCGCCTGGCACAGGCGAACACCTTGCTTGGAGCGTTCCTGGAGGGCTGTTTGCCCCGCACCGGCGAACAGACACCAACGTAACAGCGGATAACCTTCTCCATGGAGGTTTTCCCCTCAGCACCGCCAGGGTAAGGCAGGTGCCCTATAAGGCGCGAACCAGCAGCCCTGCGCCAGGACGGAGCCATCGCCGCGCTCCACTCGAACCTCCGCCCACGCGACACGCTGGGGAATTTCAAGGGAATCCCTCAAACACAGAGCCTTTACCTGCTTGATATGTGGCGAGAACGAACATTCCATTTCCCCAGGGCAGGGGCGGAGGGACCGGCGCCCACAAGGAGCCTAGGCAGGACCCGCTGGAGCTGAGGGTCCGGGGCCTCATGAGGCGGGAGCGCCGCCATCCCCGCCGCCTCAGCAGCGCCCCCAGTGCAGGGCCGGCCCCGCTCCTTCTCCTCCATAAATCCCTCCCAACCCTCCAAGGAAACACGAGTCCATCTTCCTCCACAGTATTCTCTTTGACTACCCCAAGTGCTTTGCTTCTCTACGTGAAATTTGTTGTTTCTCTTAGTTTATTTTTAGAGGCTTGGCGCTCTGATTCATTTATATGCCATCGTCGCGCACTGGCCGTGAAAAAATACTGCCAAGTGTTATGAGGGAAAACAAAGCACAGCTGCAGGCTGGGCCAGACAATAAGGAAGGTGAAGCAAGCAGGTGTGGGCTCTGCAGATCCCCACAAATCGAGGCAGCTCTGGGGAATGAGATCACCAGCCTTGTGTGTGACTTTGGAGATGGGCAGGAAGAATTAGTAATACCAGAACTGAGTAACATCAGGAAGTAAAGAGCCATTTCACAATGTGAGGTGCTCCATGAGGAAGGGGATGTAAAAAATCAGCCATCTGCAGGTACATGAAGCTTTTAAATGTCTTGAAATAAGTGTATAGTTAGTGTTGGAAGAGCATGAGCAAGAGTCGATTTGCACCTTGATCAAAAGAACACGTTTCTTAATAGGAAACAGAGCCTGTCATGAAAAAACTGGAAGGTTCTCGCAGGGAACTACGCCTATGACTGTTATTTAAACCACATTTTGTGAGAAAAAAAAAAAGTTTTGTAAAAAGAATGGGTTTGTATTTGCTGTAGCTTATGGGCACTTTCAAGTAGATTGTACCAGTAAGACTATAAAACCCTGACAGTAATTGATAAATAAAACCAGAAATGCTTCCACTAAAGGTGGTTGCATAAAAATAAAGCAAAAACAGCGTGAGATCACAAATAGATCCGTAGGGGATCACCCCATGGAATTAGTAGCAAGTTTGCCACTAATGTTGCCTGGCTGGGGACAATATCCAACAGCCAGTGGGAAAGGCCAGCAAGAAGAAACAAGAGAAAAATGTTACTCACTGTAAAAAAAAAAAAAAGTAATACCAAAGTAAGTCTTCTGGTTCGGGTGAGGGCTCTTTAAGAAATGTCCAAGCCAAGCCTACTCGTTGTACCTGTAAGGACACAGGAAAGTAAAATGCACAGGTGTGTGTATGGACACATCACTGCCTGGGCATCTGCGTGGGATCTGGACCTCTCTCAGTGGTCTGGGCTACAATAAAACATGCAGTCCCTCTCTGATTTCAGGAACAGTTTCCACAAAGTTTTTCTTTACATTTGAATTTCACCCTTATGTTCTGGCAAGCTAAGCAGAGACATAACTCTGTGACTAATGCTAATGTTGCAGTAGTAAAACACTGGGCAAAAGATGGGAAAACCAGACCCACTTGCCCATAAGAAGGATTTAATTGAAGTTTTCACTGCTCCAAAATAGGTATCTTTCACATAATTAAGAATTCTTCTGTCATGAAAACTATTTTTTTAAGGGGAGGGGGGGAGAATTTTTCTTTGCAGCAAGCTGACTTTATTGGTAAGCAATTAAGTATTTCTTTGGATTGCTGTTCAAAATAAATTACTCATTAATGTGGAAAAACCAGCTCTACTCTTGCTGTGGATTCAGAGGTTTTCAACTGGGTGCATCTAATTCCAATACAAAAAAAAAAAAAAAGCCTAGAAAGAGTATTATAATTACTGTATTATAATTTAGTCCAGATGTAGAAGCCGATACCACAAAAGTGTTAACATAGAGCAGTCTGCTGCAGGGAAATGACAGATGAATCCTGCATATGTTTGCAAAAAGGACACATTACACGATCCTTCTAGAATCTTTTGGGTTTTAATTTTTCATAAGCTCCTACAGAAAATGCAAATCCACAATAAGGTTTTGGACAGTGTCAGAGACACCTCTGTATAAACTCGGATTAAAACTTGCATACTTAACCAACGCTGTCCACTCTGCAGCCTCACAAGTAATTCCACTGAAAGTAATGAAATTAGTGGTGTGAGAAGACATTAAGGAACTGGCTTCTAATTCCAGGTTTTCCCCTTCAGGGAAAAAACAAAGAGCTTGTGGCTCTATGATGACGAGGGACTTGCAGTGAGGACAGAGGATTGCCAGAAGTGTCAGGTGTTCGGAATCACATCTTCAGAAGTTCTGATCTATGCAAGGGAGGGAGTCCTCAGAAATCTGAAAATATTAATGATGACAACTGCTATATGCAGATTTCCTACTGCAACCAGTAGCAGCTTGCGTGCAGAAACATTTGAGAAGTGAGTATCCTTTCCTTTTCCTTACCAAGTTTTATTAATTCGGCCAAAGACTATGTGGCTTCAGCCTTAATAAAAACCAATAAAATTCTGGGATGATTTAGGCTGGAACAACCTCTGAGTGGCTTGCCTAATCCAAATCATTCCATTTCAATCCAAATTGATTTCATTATCCCTAAGTCATTTATTTAAATAAATGGAGTCAGAAGAGATCAGAGAGTTTAATTATTGGAAACACTGGTTGGCACTAAGTTTGGAATTAAAATTATTCACTTTGAAGTCCGTAAATGCACAGTATGACAATACCAATTGTCAAGGAACACTTTTTCCTTGGTTAAAAAGGACAAGCTGAGCACAAAATGGAAGAATGAAACCTTGAATAATCCACGTAAGATAATTCATCCTGTCAGCTGGAGAGTTACCCACTTTAATTCTCTTACCAAGTCCTTTACTTTCCCATGCAGAATTAGGTGCAAGAACTTGGGGACTAATTTCCTAAAATGCAGAAGTCTGAAATTACACCAAAATATGACTGATGATATGATTATGCATATGGAACAGGACTGGCCTCACTTCAGTGCTGTAGGAAAACCAGCTGGAACTGTAAAGACTTTAGTCTGGGCTAGAAGTCCATCCTTTCCCTGCAGAGGACAACCAGGCTGCTCAGATATGCTTCGCCCCTGCCCCTGCCCACCTTCTCGTCCTTCAGGTGTACAAAGTACCAAGGTTTGGCAATGGTTTCACAGCTTCTTTGCCACAGCCAACATGATGTTCTAAAACCAAGTCATATCCCCCCTCAACTGTCTCCTCCCCAAACTGAAGACTGTTTTTAGACTCCCCAGGTAACCAACTCCTCCATCTCCTTGTTCAGTTTAGTTGCCTTTCTCTGGCTCTTCCTTAAACTCACTACATCCCTCTGGAGATGCCCACTCATCCTCCAGCAGTGCAGTGAGAGACCCTCCTGGAGTGTCATCCCATCCCTCCCACAGCCAAAGTAGAGGGTTTGGTTCCTCGCCAATAGTTCAGAAAGATGGAGGGAAAGGAAAATGAGGAGTTTGGGTTGGCAATCTGGAAGCAGTCACTGGGCCAGTAAAACACAGAGCAAACAGTGCTGTGTAGGCAGTATATCTACAACCACCATTAGTCAGTGGAATGGGCTGGAGTCCACCTTGCTTTGAGATTTAAGGAGTAATACAACACTGAATATGACTTTAGAAAAATATCTGGGAAGGAGACTGTTCAACTATTCATACTGTATATTACTATTTTCTTAAATCATTATATTATAGAAAACAAACCATCTGCAAAGGAACCTGCTTTGTGGGTGCTGCTGGTATTTCTATTTGTAGATTATTTTATTTTGAAAAGTATTCAGACTTTCCCAAGCAGACAGCAGTTTTAAGAGCAGGTTTGGGACACTGCTGGGAGCAAAGATCCTGTTGTAAATCTAGTACATAACAAGCTGTACATCAGATTCTTTGCTAGAGATATATTCATTCTTCTGCTTTTCCTCTGGGCAGTTCTAAATTTGCCACTTTCACTTCTGCCCCAAAATGTGTGCTGCAAAGCATTCCAACAGATCATCCACTACATTAAACAAAAAGATAAATGTTCAGCTTAGTATAATTTCTTTACTTCTTGCATTGAGCAAGGGATTATTAATACAAGTAGCAGAGAAGTCTGTTTATTTTACTGTGCTCACCTCTACAGCAGCAGAGAGACATTATAGAAAAAAAATACTGAGGCCTAAATCTCTCTCCAGACAAGTCTGCTACACAGAGCTGTTCAGGGCTACATCTGACATTTGGCTAGAAAAAAATACATGGAGACACACATCAAACTGTAACAACAATTTAATGTATCTTTTTTTAATTATACAAAAGTCCCACCCCAAGTATTCAAACACTAACAACTGATGCACTGAGTACAAAACCAATTCCTCTAGGCAAAACAGCAGAGGAATGTTTAATTAATTCATTTTTAATTAAAGGTTATCATTGAAAATCATAGTATGTATGGATCTGAGTAATTATTATTCTAAATGGTGTTCTGTCCCAGTTTCCTGGGCAATCTCTCCACACCTTTGATACACCACAACGCTCTTCCAACACACATGGACAAAGCTGTCTACAAGGAGCCCTTCAGAAACAAGTATCACTGTTTAGTTTCAGCTGTCACGAGTTCAACAACACTGAAATCATGTATAAATCATCAAGGACATTCAAAATGTCAGATGTGAAGCCTGTGTGACAAGTGGTGATTCCAAATCAAGTTTGTGCCCAGTGTGAACAGAAGGTGCCTTAAAGGCAGTTCACCCAAAAAACAGTGCGGGGGCACCAGGCCTTTCCACACATTCCTGCCATGCCCTTCTGGACCAGCACCTACTGTTCCCTTACCCTGCTGAATCCAGTCAATCATCTTCTTAGTCAGCCAAGTTCATCAGCAACCCAGGCTGCCTTCCCATCCTCTTTCCCCCAGTCCTCAGGCTCCACATCACTTAACTCTTCCATAACATTCAGAACCAGATTTCCTTAAAAGCAAACAGATACAAACAACACCGTTTTGACTACTGTCATGAACATGAAAATGCTGCAGAATGCACACGGCTCAGAGACCTCACTCCAAGGTCAGGGAGCCATGTAACCTCAGCAAAGGAACAAATTCAGAGTCATAATCGTGTGCTGCTTCCACTGGAAAACCTCTTCTAGAACATGGGCTTTGCAGAGCTCAGGAGGCAGAGCTGTGAGCCTG